AGATTTAAAATGGGGACATAGCCCTGGCTGGTTTGGCTCAGTGGATAGAGCGTTGGCCTGTGAACTGAAAGGTCCCGGGTTCGAGCACACGTGCCCGGTTTGTGGGCTTGATCCCCAGTGGGGGATTTGCAGGAGGCAGCTGATCCATGATTCTTTCTCATCATGTATGTTTCTGTCTCTCCCTCTTTCTTCCTCTCTGAAATCAATACAAATATATACAAATAAATAAATAAAAATAAAATAAAATGGGGACATAGACTCCGAGAAGGGTCTCTGTGGAGGGAAGTTTCCTAATAAGATGGATCTTCCATACATGAGTTCAAAGGGACTAAGAGAGGAGGGTGCATGGGGGGATTGCCCTGCTGTGCATAAAGACTAGACGTAGGAGAGGAGTTTAAGGTTCTTTAGTTTTGAGAGTTAATTTGGTTAGGTAGGACTTAACTAAGGAATTTGCCTTTTCTACCTAGCCTGAAGATTGGGGCCGGGGGAGTGTGTAAGTTCCACAGGATGTTCAGAGTGGAGGAGACCTGTTGAGTTATTTGAGATATGAAAGCAGGTCCATTATCTGATTGTAATGAGGTGGGGAGCCCAAATCTGGGAATGATGTGCTGAATGGGAGCTTGTGTGACCCTGATGGAATTTTCAGAAGCAGTGGGGAATGCTTCTACCCAGCCTGAGAAAATATCTACGAGGGTTAAGAGATGTTTGTTTTGTTTTTTTATAGGTATGCGAATGAAGTCAGTTTGCCAGTCTTGTGCAGGGATTTGGCCCCTTGCCTGATGAGTGGGGAAAGAAGGGGGTCTGATCTAACCTGTCCTTGGGGAGATACTGAGTGACAAGTAGAACAGGTCTTGGTGACCTCTTACAGTAGGAAGGCTAGGCTAGGACAGGTGATGAGGGGTTGTAGGAGTTGTAAACGTATCCTATAGGTAGGAAATTTTAAATAGCCTGTAAGCTATCATGGGCCTGTCCCTGGGGCAGGATATATTTTCCCCGACAATTTTAACCGTGGACCTTCCTGCATAGCCCCAAGAGCTACTTGGGACTGAAGTTCCTCTGGAGGGTATTTGGGTGTTATATGAGGTGTAGCTAAGAGTTGGGGAGACAGAAGCTTCCTCTGAGCTGCTGCTTGGCCTCCTGTCTGCTCTGTTATTTCCCTTTATTGCGGGATCATTCCTGACTTGAGTCCTTTGCAGTGTATGGCTTTTAAGAAGGCGAGAAAAGGGGAGAGAAGTTCCTAAATACCAAGCAGGAAGACCTGTTGAGCTTTCAATGATAGTGTCAAGAACTGTGAATGAGCGGTGGAAATAAAGAAAGTCTAGGCTCAGATATAAGGACTTAAGACAAAGGAGAGAGCCTGGGTGGGTCTGCTTTAGCTTACTAGGAGAGAAGGGGTCTCTTAGGACGTCAGGGGTGGGCAGGTCCTGACTCACTGGACAACACAAACCTTCTCCCCTTAACAAATTACACACTTTAAACACACTCTTACTTTCAAGAAACTATAGATTCAACTAAATACAGGAGACTTTCTGTAATAAAAACTAAGAGCAAGTGAATTAAAACATGTCTAGCAGTCAATGTTTCAGTATTTTATGCTATTTTAAAATATCTAGATGTTTATCATTTAACTCAGCAATGCTCCAAAGCCTTTAAGATACCAAAGACTTTGGAAAATTATGTGTATGCACATGAGGCTGGAGAAAAGGCAGGGGGAGGAGGGAGCAGGCCCTGCAGCCTGTTCCCAGTCCTCCAGCTGCTTTGGATTTAAAACTGCCACATTTTTCCTAACAGATAACATGCTAAGGTTTGGGTGATAATGAGTTCAGCTTATGATAGTAGCCGGACTGTTAATGCTGGGGTCCAACCCCAGCAGGTCCAGGGGTCCCCAAAGGTGTGGACGGAGTCAGCGAAGAAGGAAGGACACGGAGACAGCGTTCAGTTGATCAGCAGCCTAGCCAGGATCTCCAGCCAAGTTCTGTTTAGGATCTCCAGCGAAGTTCTGGTTAGGATCTCTAGCCAAGTTCTGGTTCGGTTCTCTTGCTAGGTTCTCCAGCCAGGTTCTGTAGCCATGTTCCCTCGCTAGGTTCTCCAGCCAGGTTCTGTCACTAGGTTCTAGTCAGGTTCTCTTGCCATGTTCTATCCAGGTTCTGTAGCCAGGTTCTGTCTCCAGGTTCAGTCACCAGGTTCTAGTCAGAATCTCTTGCCATGTTCTATCCAGGTTCTGTAGCCAGGTTCTGTCTCTAGGTTCTCCAGCCAGGTTCTCTCGCTAGGTTCTGTCTCTAGGTTCTGTTGCCAGTTTCTGTCCAGGATCTTTTGCCATGTTCAGTATCTAGGTTCTGTCTCTAGGTTCTGTGTCTAGGTTCTGAGTCTAGGTTCTGAGTCTAGGTTCTGAGGCCAGTTTCTGTCCAGGATCTTTTGCCATGTTCTCTCCAGCGAAGTTCTTCTGTCTCTTGTTTCTGTGTAGGTTCTGTGTCTAGGTTCTGTGTCCTGTTGTCTTGTTACATCTGTATTTATACCAGTTGATTCCAATCCTATCAATCTCTATTCCAAAGGTTAGGGCGTTTATCTCCATTCCAGGGAGTAAAGATTATGTAGCTTAAGCATGATTGTTCGTAGTTAAAGTGATTAATTACCCGCCTGGCACTTAGTTAAGGGGTTTTATTCCCTCCCTAACTTCAGGGGAAAATCCCTACCTGGGGAAACAACCTTTCTCAGAGAGGTGACCTTGGTTAAAACACATAGTGCCAAGAAGGTGAGCAAACTTATTAAGAACAGTATGCCATATATGCCAGGTCCCTTGAAACAGCAAGGATGGACCGGCTCCCGGCATGTTAAGTTGCTAGTTGTGCAGTAAAGAGAGTTGTTCTTTGGGAAAAGGGGGGAGTTGGTGAGAAGGTGCTGAGGTCAGAGCAGTTCTCAGAGCATGAAAGGGGTGAGAATGCTGGCCTTGGGAACTAAAGGCTCAGGAAGGAGCCCCTTTGCCATGTCATGTCACAGAAGAGCTTTGTGGGAAGCCTGAAGTTGGGAACTCAGAGGCAGCTGTACCCAGTGAGCCTAAGAATGGAGAGTATTTCTTGTTCAGAGGAGGGGATAGTCTTGGTGGAGATAAGGCATTTACAGTCTAAGGAATGGTGCGGCTTTGTGGGGTGAGAGTGAAACTGAGGTAGGTGACTGTCATTTGGGATAACTGGGTTTTGTAAGAAGATGCGCGGATAAGAGGATGCGCGGTAGCCCTGGTCAGGCACTGGAGTAGAACTAGAAAACAGTGAATGGGGGCATTTAGTAAGATGCAGTGTAGAGGTGAGGTGGCTAATGGCTGTGAGGCTAACCTGTCAACCCTGTAACAGAGACTAAAGAGGGGACAACGGTCCCAGCTAATTTGGGGAGGGCAGAATAAGTGGCCGCAGTGTCCGTTAAAAAGGAGATTGGTTTACCTGCCACCACATCGTTACCTGAGTCTCTGACTTGGTGCTGTAAGTCTGTGGGACCTTGTCAGGGCCTGGGTAGCTTCAGTCTTCGGTGGCCAGTAAGGAGGTCTGGGGGCTCCAAACCGGGTCCAGAGGGTGGTCTTGCTGAACTGGCTGATGTCTGACCTGGAGGGGCCAAACTGCAGTCTGATTTCCAGTGGCCTTCCCTTCCACACCATGGGCAGGGCCCATGGGTTTGAGGAGGACTTGATCCAGTGTCTGTCCTTGTTGCATTGGAAGCATGGGCCCAGAAGAGTCTTAGCCCCTGACTTACCCTTGTTTGGAGGACCAGCACTTCATTTGGGGTTCGTGAGAGGTAGCTAGGAGCTGAAAGCCCTTCGTCTGGGTCTCAGCCTTGGCCTGATCTCATCTTTGTTTTTGGATTTGGGGCTCCATGTCCAACCTCACACAGATTGAGAGGCATCTCAGGTCTTTTTAAAGACCTTAAAGGCCAGGTTAACGAGGTCTTTTTGAGGGGGTTGTGGACCTGTGTCTAATTTTCTAAGTTTATGGTGTATGTGGGGGGCTGGTTGGTATATAAAAAGGGTGTTCAGAAGAAGGGTTCCTTCTGGGGAGGTGGGTTCTACGGTGGTAAATTTGTGTAAGGCCTCCGTGATGTGGGAGAGGAGGAGGGCTGGGTTTTCATCAGGGCCCTGAGTGATTTCATTAAGTTTGTTATAATTGACCGCCTTATGGGCAGCCTTTTGAGTCTGACAATGAGACAGGCTACAGAGCCAGCGCCCTGGAGAACTGACCTGATAGCCCCATCTTGGGTCAGTTCTGGGGATGTGTTAGCGCCAACCTGGTTGGCCACCGAGTCCTGTCTATGGAGGGCACAGCGTGTTCCTGAGCTGCTACAGATGTGCTCCTTCTCCTCTGGGGGGAGAGAGGACGACAGGATGACTTAGATCTTATGACAGGTTAGGCCATAGGACTGGGTCAGGTACTTAAATTCCTTAGTAAAGGTGGTCAGGTCGGTGGAAAAAGACCTGAGATGCCTCTCAATCTGTGTGAGGTCGGACATGGAAAATGGGATGTGTACCCAGCCAGTACCCTCCGTTCCTGCTCCCTTCCTCGGGAGTAGAATGGGCGCAGGAATAGAAGCAGCTATTGAGGAAGGCAGTCTTAGGGTGGCCCTAGAGCAAGTGTTAGGTGGGAAAAGGCTGTATTGGAGCTCAAGTTCTTGGGATTTGGGCTCTCAGGGGCTGGGGGAGAAGGTGGTTTCAGGTTAAGAGGGTCTGGGAATCTATCACAGATGAGGGAAGAGATGTATAAGGGAGTGGAGGTCGGTGGTCTGCTGGGTCAAAAGTAGATTCAGCCCTAGCCAGTTTGGCTCAGTGGATAGAGCGTCGGTCTGTGTACTAAAGTGTCCCAGGTTTGATTCTGGCCAAGGGCACATGCCTGGGTTGCAGGCTCGATCCCCAGTAAGGAGGATGCAAGAGGCAGCTGATTAATGATTCCCTGTCATCACTGATGTTTCTATCTCTCTGTCCCTTTCCTTCCTCTCTGAAATCAATAAAGAAATAAAAATTTTTTAAAAAAACCAGAGTTGTCCTGAAGATTTAAGCTAATCAATTAAAAAAATAGTAGCTTCAGAATCAGAAGTGTTAGGGGTATGATGTTTTGTGTGAAGGAGAAAGATCTGATGGGTAGAACAGAACTGAGAGAGAGGATTGGGACTGGAGGGTGAAAAAGGTCTGGACGTAGGAATCTCTGACGATTTTCCATTCTGGTGACAGCAGTTATCGAAATTGTGCAATGTGTTAAAATTAAAAGTGCCATTTTCAGGCCATTGAGACTTCTCATCTAGTTTATATTGTGATCAAACAGTGTTGCAAAGCAATATGAGGTGGTTGGGCATGGTCTCCCCGTGAGTGTGCAGAGGGAGTGTGGCATGGCCCACGAGAGAGGAAGGGTGAGTGACAGACCACAAATCCAAAGGTAACTGTTTAAGGCAGGTGTCCCTGCTGCTAAACAAAATCACCATAAGACATGAGAGGTGACCCTCTGAACTGGGTGTCCTCAATCCAGAAGGACCCATAGCCAAATGGCTGAAGAGTCTTCTGGCTTAGTGGTAGGACTTTTGAGACGAGAGGCTTTCGAGAAGTCAGTGAGAGAGAGTAGGCAGAAGACTCCAGACGAGGGAATTTGTGGATTGTCACTAGAGAAGATTGGCTGGTGTGGGATGGAGGGTCAGCAGTGGAGGAGCGGCTCCCGATCTTGCATCCTCCTTGGTTGGCTCGGGAGGGTCCATAAGAGAGGGAGGCCTAATTGAGGCCGGCAATCAAGTTACATGAATTGGATTTGGAGGTAAGTCCAGGTTGAGTTGCCACTGCCTACTGCTCTCTAAGTAGCAAACTCGGGATGACCGAAGCTGGGGTGATGGCTCCTCACAGAACCCTCCTGGGTTTCAGCACCAAATGTTAGGGTCACCAAAGAAGGAATGCATGAGGCCAAAAAGGGTAAAGAATTATGAATTTATTCGGTCACAACCTGTCAGTTGTCAGTTTTTGTTGAGGGCTGATACCATGATCATTAGAAACACATTAGCATACATCAGTGTAACCTGGGCTTGAAAATCTCCACTGGCATTAGGAAGGAAGAAGGTAGGAGACAAATATGTTACAGAATGGTGAGTTCGAATTTTGGAAAAGAAGGTGATTAGAAAAAAACCAGGCCTCATTATGGCATATTTGTGTTGTCTTTGAAGTTGTGACTTTGTGAAAGAGGCTGTGTGAGAGGAGTGTGTTTCAAAGAATGATGTGACAGGTAATGCAAAGTGATGGACTCAGCATCATTCTGTGAGTGAGTTCCAAAGGGTGAAGTGTGATGCCATCCCTTTCTGAGTCTTGGAGGGACAATCTGGGGCACTTCAAGGGAAGGCCTGATAATACCAGTGTCAAATCACTCACACTTCCTTTATACCCAACATCTCTTCCTCCCCTGTTTTGTGGACATCAACTGTATTGACAAGAGGCAGTGTGGCCTACATGTGAGGCCCAGAGGTCAGTTATCTTCTATCTGCTCAGCCTTTATTGTTGTGGGAAGACACATGATCAATTGGCATATAAGGAGAGAGTTACTTGATGGGACAGAGGCCTGATACCTCCTTTGATGAAGGTAGTAGAGGGAGAGATGTGGAGAGTGGGGAGTATGACAAACAAAATAATTGGAGAGATGCTGATCATGGGCTGTACTGTCCCCATTATGACAGGATATGAACTTTGAGGACGTGGCCATTGCCTTCTCTCAGGAGGAGTGGGGGCTCCTTGATGAGGATCAGAGACATCTATACTGCGATGTGATGCTGGAAGTTTTTGCACTTGTATCATCTGTAGGTAAGATTTGCACATTCTCCTACTGTCCTGAGGTGATGGCCTCTCTTCCTTTATTCTCCAGATGCAACTTTCTCTCTCCCACAGCCAAACCATGGGCTCTGCCAATTTTCCCCACTTTCTTATAATAGGTGCTATGAATGCATGTGCTGAGCTGTGTGGAGATCCCTGAGCAATGGACTCACCAAGCACCCCTTACACCCATTGCCTCAGAGAGTGCAGGAAGTGTGTGGAAGTCATGAGTCTTGCAGACAGCTTCATAGAATCCAGCTTAATTTCCTCTTCCTGGGAGGGTGACTATATCCAGGTCCATGGCATCCACTTCTGCACCCTTCCTCCAGCTAAAGGTCATTGGTGCCTGCCTGTTCCTGGTGTGGTCTTTACTTACATGAACCATGGGCAGTTCTTGTGAGACTCTCCTTCCATTGTTTTTAATATTCTCTTCCCTGAATACTATTGCATGCTGAGTTGCTCTGGCTTCTCACCTCCGTTGTCTTTCATTAATACTCAGAATATTTAGGTTTTATGCACTTGAACAGTAGAAAGCGCAGGAAGAACACTCTTTTTTTCACAATATGAACATACAGGATGATCTCAAAGGAGGCTTTGCTCTGTTGAGTGGCAACTCGAAAAGTATGACATAAGGGCTGTGTTCAGATCATACCAGGGACCTGCTCATTTCCCACAGTGTTTAGTTGCAAGTGCCACTGGCGACAGCTCATTTCTACCTTTTCTTTCCCATCTTTGACATGTTGCTGACTTGTCATTTCATCTTTGACTTTCTGACTTTTGTCTACCTTCACTTTTGTGGTCTTTTTGCATCACGTGTCCCCCTGCAAGTCTTTCTCTGCAGTATTCTTCAACATTGACCTCCACATGTATTATGAGGTGCGTATATATTTATTTATATAAATATATAAACCTATCCATTTATTGAATTACTAGAAGCCCAGCACACGAAATCATGCACGGGTAAGGCCCCTAGGCCTAGCCCCGCCACTGCCAGTCCCCAGTCCAGCCCCTGCCGCTGCCACCCACCCCAGTTCCTCGTTTGCCATCCAGCCATTAAAAGAACAGCCCTCTCTGCCTTAGGTGCCTTGTGCCATCAAAAGACACCTGGCCCTTTGCTCCCTTTAAATAAGTAAAATAAACGCCCTCTCTCTGTACCTGTCTCTTCTCTCCCTTGTGAATCCTTTCATAGCTGGCGTCACCAGCCAAAACCCTAACAATGACGTGGGAAACTCAACCAGGAAGGGAGTAGGTGCAGGGAACCAGGGCTGCCCCCTTGCTCCTGCCCCGCCCTCCTACCCTCCATCCCTGTACTGGCCCAGCGGCCTGGCTCGGCCCCTCCTCCATCGCAGAACCGCTCAGCTCAAGCTCTGGCCCCGCCCATCCCACAGGGAGGAGCATGCGCAGTTTCTTGCAGACATGGACGTGGCTGTGGAGTAGGGAGGAGGCGGATTATTCCTGAGGAGGGTGTTTCTGTTTTGAAGCTGATTTCTCCGTCCACCTCCCCGCAATGAAGGCTGAGGGTCGCTGCAGGCGCTGAAGTCCTTATTGAAGTCTCCACTCCATAGCATCTCACAGTGGTGAGTCCACATCCCAGGAGGCTGTGCAGTGGAGGCACCATGTGCCTTTCCGAAGAAACTTAGGATCAATCAGTCGGAGCCTCTCGCCCGGAGGGGAAGGACCAAGAGGTCTGCCTTCCGCCCGCTCGCCAGTTCCCGGTCCTACTCTGCTGCCACCCAGTCCAGTTCCCTGTGGTTCCATGGTGGCCATCCAGCAATGGAAGCCTGCGGGCTGCAGGGAGGGACTGAGAGGTGGTCACTGCACCTCATAGCGACTGGTTGATCGGTCGTTCTGGTTGTGACGCCTGGGCTTTTATTATATAGGACTAGAGGCCCGGTGCACAAAAATTTGTGCACTCGGGGGGGAGTGGGGTCCGTCAGCCCGGCCTGTGCCCTCTCGCAGTCTGGGACCCCTCGGGAGATAACGACCTGCTGGCTTAGGCCTGCTCCCGGGTGGCAGAGGGCAGGCCTAATCCCTAGGTGCAGCCCCTGGTCGGGCTCAGAGCAGGGCCAATTGGGGAGTTGGGGCGCCGCCCCCTGTCATGCACAGAGCAGGGTGGATTGGGAGGTTGCGATGCCACCCTCAGTCACGCTCAGGGTAGGGCCGATTGGGGGGTTGGGACACCGCCCCCTGTCACACTCAAAGCAGGGTCGATGGGGAGGTTGCGGCGCCACCCCCTGTCGCGCACAGAGCAGGGCCAATCAGGGGGTTGGGGAGCTCCCCCCGTCATGCACAGAGCAGGGTCGATCAGGGGGTTGGGAGGCTCCCCCCTGTCACGCACAGAGCAGGGTCGATCAGGGGGTTGGGGAGCTCCCCCCTGTCACGCACAGAGCAGGGCCCATCAGGGGGTTGGGGCGCCACCACTGTCACACTCAGGGCAGGGCCGATGGGGATGTTATGGCTCTACCCCATCACACACAGAGCAGGGCCCGTGGGCGGGGGGGGGTGAGGAGGGGTTGGGGCGCCGCACCCTGTCACACACAGAGCCACAGGGTGATCAGGGGCTTGGGGAGCTCCCCCCTATCAGGCACAGAGCAGGGCCGATCAGGGGGTTGGGGCGCCTTCCCCTGCCAGGAACAGAGTAGGACTGATAGGGAGGTTGTGGCCCCACCCCCTGTCACACACAGAGCCGCAGGGCGATCAGGGGGTTTGGGCGCTGCCCCCTGTCACGCTGATCCCAGTGCTGGGAGGCCTCGCGGCTCTGCTGATCCCGGTGCTGGGAGGCATATTACCCTTTTACTATATAGAATAGAGGCCTGGTGCATGGGTGGGGGCTGGCTGGTTTGCCCTGAAGGGTGTCCTGGATCAGGGTGGGGGTCCCCACTGGGGTGCCTGGCCAGCCTGGATGAGGGGATGATGGCTGTTTACAGCTGGTCACACACCCTTCAGGGTGGGGGTCCCCTCTGGGGTGCCTGGCCAGTCTGGATGAGGGGCTGAGGGCTGTTTTCAGGCTGGGACTGAAGCTCCCAACTGCTCCTTTTTTTCTTTTTTTCTTTTTTATTCTGGTCCAGCTTTAGCCTGGCTTCAGCTCTGAGGCCTCAGCTGCTGAAAGCAGGTATCTGGTTTGTTTAGGTTCTATAATCGAAACTCTGTATCAACTCCAGCTCTGAGATCCCAGCTTGCTGAAAGTTGGTTTCTGGGGTTTTGTTTAGCTTCTATATTTGTTACAATGTTTCAAACTGCAGGCTCAGAGGCCAGCAAGGCAGGCGGGGAACGTTGGTTTCCTCCGTCACTGAAGCAAGCAAGCCTCATGTTCAGTTTAAGCTGCCTGGCTGCCGGCCTCCATCTTGGCTGGCAGTTAATTTGCATATCGCCCTCATTAGCCAATGGGAAGGGTAGCAGTCGTATGCTAATTACCATGTTTCACTTTTATTAGATAGGATACTTGAAATAAGGTGTAACTAACATTCTTTTAAAAAATTCTTTATTGTTTAAAATATTACATAAAATATTATATGTGTCTCCTTTTACCTCCATTGACCTCTCCCTGGCCACTCCCACCACCCAGTACATGCCTTCAACCCCTAGTGTCTGTGTCCATTGGTTATGCTTAAATGCAAGCATACAAGTCCTTTGGTTGATCTCTTAGTCCTCCTCTCCCCCTGCCTTCCCTCTGAGGTTTGAAGGTCTGTTCAATGCTTCTCTATCTCTGGATCTATTTTTGTTCATCAATTTTATGTTTTTCATTATATTCCACAAATGAGTCAGATCATGTGATATTTTTCTTTCTCCAACTGGCTTATATCGTTTTGCATAATGCTCTCCATGTCCACCCATGCTGTTGTAAATGGTAATAGGTCTTTCTTTTTTTATAACAGTGTAGTATTCCATTTTGCAGATGTACCACAGTTTTTTAATCCACTCAACTGCTGATGGGCCCTTAGGCTATTACCAAATATTAGCTATTGTAGATTGTGCTGCTATGAACATAGGAGTGCATATGTCCTCTCTGATTGGTGTTTCTGAGTTCTTGGGATATATTCCTAGAAGTGGGATCATTGGGTCAAATGGGAGCTCCATTTTAAACTTTCTGAGGAAACTCCATACTGTTTTCCACAGTTGCAGCACCAGCCTGCATTCCCACCAGCAGCGCACAAGGGTTCCTTTTTCCCCCACATCCTCGTCAGCACTTGTCATTTGTTGATTTGTTGAAGATAGCCATTCTTAAAGGTGTGAGATGGTATCTCATTGTCATTTTGATTTGCATCTCTCAGATGATTAGTGACTTTGAGCATGTTTTCATATGTCTCTTGGCCTTCTATATGTACACTTTCAAAAAGTGTCTAAGTCCTTTGCCCTTTTTTTTTAATTAAATCTTTATTGTTCAGATTATTACATTTGTTCCTCTTTTTTCCCCCCATAACTCCCCTCCTCCCAGTTCCCACCCCACCCTCCGCCCTCACTCCCCACCCACTGTCCTCATCCATAGGTGCACGATTTTTGTCCAGTCTCTTCCCGCATCTCCCACACCCCTTTCCCCCCCAAGAATAGTCAGTCCATTCCCTTTCTATGTCCCTGATTCTATTATAATCACCAGTTCATTCTGTTCATCAGATTATTTATTCACTTGATTCTTAGATTCACTTGTTGATAGATGCATATTTGTTGTTCATAATTTGTATCTTTACCTTTTTCTTCCTCTTCCTCTTCTTAAAGGATACCTTTCAGCATTTCATATAATCCTGGTTTGGTGGTGATGAACTCCTTTAGCTTTTCCTTATCTGTGAAGCTCTTTATCTGACCTTCAATTCTGAATGATAGCTTTGCTGGATAAAGTAATCTTGGTTGTAGGTTCTTGGTATTCATCACTTTGAATATTTCTTGACACTCCCTTCTGGCCTGCAAAGTTTCTGTTGAGAAATCAGCTGACAGTCGTATGGGTACTCCCTTGTAGGTAACTGAGTTTTTTTCTCTTGCTGCTCTTAAGAGTCTCTCTTTGTCTTTTGCTCTTGGCATTTTAATTATGATGTGTCTTGGTGTGGTCCTCTTTGGATTCCTTTTGTTTGGGGTTCTCCGCGCTTCTTGGACCTGTAAGTCCATTTCTTTCACCAGGTGGGGGAAGTTTTCTGTCATTATTTCTTCAAATAGGTTTTCAATATCTTGCTCTCTCTCATCTCTGGCACCCTTATAATTCTGATGTTGGTACGCTTGAAGCTGTCCTAGAGGCTCCTTACACTATCTTCGTATTTTCGGATTCTTTTTTCATTTTGCTTTTCTGGTTGGGTGTTTTTTGCTTCTTCACATTTCAAATCTTTGCCTTGATTCTTGCACTCCTCTGATCTGCTGTTGGGAGTCTGTATAGTATTCGTTATTTCAGTCCGTGTATGCTTAATTTCTAGTTGGTTCTTTATCATAACATCGAGGGTCTCATTAGATTTCTTGAGGATCTCACTACATTTATCAGCGGCTTCTAGACAGTTCTTAAGAGACCTTAAAAGTGTGGTTCTGAACTCAGTATCCTCCATTGACAGTTTTGTCCTGTTTCTTTGTCTCCGCATTTTTTATGCTTTCTTGGTGCACCCCCTAGTGGTCTTTGTGCACAGTCTTGTTGTAGTTAAGCCTTGATTGTTGTCGGCAATACCGGGGGAGATTTGACCTCCAGGCTAACTGGCTATGAGAGTCCGCTGTATCTGCAGTGGGAGAGCTTCTGTGCTGGATCTCTAGGGCGGTGCTAATCTAGCGTTTGCTTGAGGCTATCCGGCAAATGGCTCTGCGCAGGGGTTGGGCGGGGTGGGTCCCTGGGGATCTACAGTGCGGGCGGAGCAAGCAGTTATGGCTGCTCTCAGTTCCGTCCCTAGGGGCTCTGCCTCACAGAGTCCCAGCAACCGCTGCAAACCTCGGAGAGAAACTGTCTTCGAGTTCCGACCAAAGCCAGACAGTCCCGCTTCTCCCGTTTGAGTCTGGGTCCCTAGAGACTCGCCCGGATCTGGAGCTCAGAGTCTGAAACTCCCTCCCGATTGAAAACAACAACCGCGCCCTCCACCTCCAGCCTGCTCCACGTGCACTCCGCACCTTAGTATTTCACTTCAGCACTGCACCTCCTCTGAGTCTGGGTATGATATTCTCTTTCCTCCTAGTTGTAGAATTTCCACTCAGCCAGTCTTCCTGTGGTTCTGGATGATGTCCGTTCCGTCTTTTAGTTGTTTTTTGAAGTGGTTGTTCAAGGCAGCAATCTCCGGCGTTAACCTATGCCGCCATCTTGGTTTCTCCCCCAGACATTTCTGTCCTTTGCCCTTTTTTGATTCGATTGTTTATCTTCCTTTTGTTAAGTTATATGTTGGAGATTAAATCCTTATCGGAGTTAACATTGGCAAATATGTTCTCCCATGCAGTGGGCTTTCTTGTTTTGTTTATGGTTTCTTTTGCTGTGCAGAAGCTTTTTATTTTGATGTAGTCCCATTTGTTTATTTTCTCCTTCGTTTCCATTGCCCTAGGAGCTGTTTTGGTAAAGATATTGCTATGACATATGTCTGATATTTTGCTGCATATGGATTCTTCTAAGACTTTTATGATATTCCATCTTACGTTTAAGCCTTTTATCCACTTTGAGGAATATGTCCATTTCTTGGTTGACAAGTTTGTTGGAATAGAGTTGTCCATAGTGTGTTTTTTTAACAATCCTTTGTATTTCTGTGGGTTCTGTTGCTATTTTGCCTCTTTCATTTCTGATTTTTTTTTTTTAAATCTGGATCCTCCGTTTGCTTCTTGCTGAAGCTGGCTAGAGGTTCGTCAATCTTGTTTATCCTTTCAAAGAACCAGCTCTTGGTTTTATTGATCTTTTGTATTTTTTTGTTGTTGTTCTCTATGTCATTTATTTTCACTCTAATCTTTATTATTTCCTTCCTTCTGTTCACTCTGGGCTTTTCTTGTTGCTCTCTTTCTAATTCTTCAAGTTTTAGAGTTATATAACTTATTACCAGCTTTTCTTGTTTTTTGAACTAGGCCTGTAATGCTATGTATGAACTTCCCTGTCAGGAATGCTTTCACTGTGTCCCGTAGATTTTGAATTGTTATGTTTTCATTGTCATTTATTTCCAGGTTGTTTTTTATTTCTTCTTTGATCTTTTTGGTAACCCAGTCATCGTTTAATAACATGCTATATAGCTTCTACGTGTTGGAATTTTTAAATTGGTTTTATTGTAGTTTATTTCTAATATTATGGCATTATGATCTGAAAAGATTATTGATATGATATCAATCTTGAATTTGAAGAGACTTTGCCTGTGTCCCAGTATGTGGCCTGTCTTTGAAAATGTCCCATGTGCTCTTGAGAAGAATGTATTTTCTGTAGCTTTGGAGTGAAATGATCTAAAGATGTCAATTAAGTCCATATGATCTAGTGAGTCGTTTAGGATTGCCGTTTCTTTGCTCATTTTTTGTCTAGAGAATTTATCCAGTGATGTCAATGGGGTATTAAAGTCCCCTACTATGATTGTATTGGCATCGATCGCTCTCTTGATATCTTCCAGAGGTTTTTTTTATGGATTTGGGTGCTCCTGCATTGGGTGCATATATGTTTACCAAAGTTATATCCTCTTTGTATGGATGCCTTTAGTATTATGAAGTAGCCTTCCTTATCTCTTGTTATGGCCTTCACTTTGAGGTCTATTTTGTCAGATATAAGTATTGCTATCCCAGCTACCTATTTCATTTCCATTTGCCTGAAAGGTATTTTTCCAACCCTTCACTTTTAGTCTATGTGAATCCTTTGTTCTGAGGTTGATCTCTTGTAGACAACATATATATGGGTCATGTTTTCTTATCCATTCAGCCACTCTGTGTCTTTTGATTGGAGCATTTAGTCCATTTATGTTTATGTTTAAGGTTATTATTGATAGGTACATGTTTGTAGCTATTTTTATTCTTTATGCCTGTATTTCTTCTTCCCTTTCTATTTTTTCTTTTTACAACAATCCCTTTAGCATTTTTTGCATTGCTGGCTTGTTGGTAATAAACTACGTTAGCTTTTTTTTTTTTTTTTTTGTCTGTGAAGCTCCTTATTTCCCCTTCAATTTTGAATGATAGCCTTGCTGGATAGAGTATTCTTGGATTCAAAGCCTTGCTTTGAATCACTTTTTATACTTCATTCCATTCCCTTCTAGCCTGATGTATTTCTGTTGAGAAATCATTTGATAATCTAGTTTGAGATCCTTTGTAGGTAACTCTTTGTCTCTCTCTCTCTGACAGCCTTTAAGATTCTCTCTTTGTTGGTAACATTTGCCATTGTAATTTTGACATGTCTTGGTGTGTGGCTTTTGGGTTCATCTTGTTTGGAATTCTCTGTGCTTGTGTGACTTTTCCATCCCAAATTTGGAGTCTTCTGTTATTATTTCTTCAAATATGCTTTCTAATCCTTGCTCCTCTCTTGTCCTTTTGGCACTCCTATTATACATATGTTACTTTGTTTCCTGTTGTCCCAAACCTCCCTTAGGCTCTTCTCCTGCTTTCTAATATTTTTATCCAATTGCTGCTCAGATTGGGTGTGTTTTTCTGGCCTTTCTTCCAACTCACTAATTCAGTCCTCCGCTTCTTCTAATCTAATGTTGAAAGTTTCCATTGTGGTTTTTTTTTTTTTTATATTTTATTGATTTTTTACAGAGAGGAAGGGAGAGAGATAGAGAGTCAGAAACATCGATGAGAGAGAAACATCGATCAGCTGCCTCCTGCACATCTCCTACTGGGGATGTGCCCGCAACCCAGGTGCATGCCCTTGACCGGAATCAAACCTGGGACCTTCAGTCCGCAGGCCGACGCTCTATCCACTGAGCCAAACCGGTTTCGGCACCATTGTGTTTTTTATTGTAGTTATATCAGTCTTGATTTCCTTTTGATTCTTATATAAGTTGTTGGTTTTCTCATCCATCCATTTTATCAACTGTATGGCTCTTACTATGAAATCTTTTTCTGACATATTGCATGCCTCTATTTTATTTAGTTCCTTTTCTAGCAATTCCTCCTTTTCTTTCATTTTGGTTTGTTACTTTGTCTCCCCATTTTTGCTCTTACTGACGGGTCCAGGCACAGAGTCCTGAGGGGCCTATGGCTGAAGTGGAGGGCTTGGTGGGAGGGTCACACACCTGAGAGTCACCGGAGAATCCAGGCACTGGGACGCGAGGGGGCCGTGGCTGAAGTGGTGAGTTGGTGAGAGCATTGCACACACTGGGACTCACAGGAGCCTGTGGCCAGGAAAGCTGCAGTCCTGGTGTTTGTGCGTCTGCAGCTGAGATAGCAGGTCTTTGGATAGAGTGGCTATAGGGTCCCAGGTGGTGTTTGAGGCCAGTCTCAGTGTTAGTAGGGATAGGCTCCTAGTCTTAGCAGCTGTCCCCTTCAAGATGGCATGGTTTCTGAGCCAGAGTTTGCTGCCCAGGAGTGCTTGCAGCAGTAGCAGAGGTTCCCCTTCTAGGGGAGCCCAGTCTTCAGGCTCCTGAGACTCCTGGAGATCTAACTGCCGTCATATATCCACACACTTCCCTTTTACTCCCTCACAGCCATCCTGCTGGCCACCATCCTCACTCCCTCTGTAAACAACATTCTGCACAACTTACCCATGTCACCAGCAAACAAGCCCTGCTGAATTCTGTTGGCAAAAGAATGACTCTGTAATACCTCTTCTGTTCCATGTGGCACTTGTCACGTATGTATCATATTTTGTTTGAGGTCCTCCTTGTTTTTGAACTTCAGCAGCCCAGAACTTCATAGCTTCATCTTGTAAATTCTTCCTGCAAATCTTTTATTTTCATCCAGTTGCATGAAGCCGAGGTAATATGAGCAACACACTTTTGTAATGGGTCTTCCCCCTGTTGCCACAGTCAACTTTCATTTCCTCACCACTTTTCTGTTTGCAGGTTGTTGGCATAAAACAGAAGAGGAGGAGGAATGTTCTGATGCGAGTGTTTCTGTACAAGTGGAGTCAAAATTCATGGCTTCTAAGACAGTGCCACCAACCCAGAAGACCCACCTCTGTAAGCAGTGTTTCTCAGTTTTAAAAGATATTCAACTGACTGAGTCACAAGCAGCATACTTTGAGCAGAAAGCCTTCTTCAGTGACACATGTGTGAGAAACTTCTGTTCCAATGCAAACCATCACCAGCAACAGAGGGATACCAGTGGAGAGAAGTTCTGGAAAGAAGCTATGGACAGGGACTTGTTTGTGACCAGGTGCAGCTACTTGTCAGGGGTACCTTCAACTACTAGGGAGGCTGGGAAAGACTGGCCAGCCAGCTCAGGGTTGTTGCAGCCCCAGGCATCTCTTGACACTGAGGAGCCTCACAGGGGCAATGAGATTTCACAGAAATTTCACAGTGTAAAAAGTCATCATCAGTGGAACAAACATGAAAGTGCTGCAAGCCACAGACATAAATTTGTTCAACATCAGGGTGTCTGCTCTGATGAAGTGAAATATGAGTGTAACAAATGTGGGAAAGTTTTTAGATGTATCATTAACCTCACTCAACATCAGCGAGTTCACACTGGAATTATGTCCTATGAGTGTACTGATTGTGGGAAGCTCTTCCATCAAAGATCTTCCCTCACTAAACATCATAGAGTTCATACTGGAGAACAATCTTTTGAATTTAGTGAATGTGGGAAATCACTTAGGTGCAGTAATTACCTCTTTAACCAGAAGAGAGTTCACACTGGAGAAAAGACATATCAATGTAGTGATTGTGGGAAATCCTTCAGTCAAAACTCTAACCTCATTCAACACCACAGAGTTCACACCGGAGAAAAGCCATATGAGTGCAGTGATTGTGGGAAATCCTTCAGTCAGAACTGTTCCCTCATTAAACACCACAGAGTTCATACTGGAGAAAAGCCATATGAGTGTAGTGATTGTGGGAAGTCCTTCAGTCTGATCTCTACCCTCACTACACACCACAGAGTTCACACTGGAGAAAAGCCATATGAGTGTAGTGATTGTGGAAAGTCTTTCAGGCAAATCTTTGCTCTCACTGAGCACCAGAGAATTCATATGGGGGAAAAGCCATATCAATGTAGTGAATGTGGAAAGTCCTTCAGTCATAGCTCTAACCTCCTAAAACACCACAGAGTTCACACTGGAGAAAAGCCATATGAGTGTAGTGATTGTGGGAAGTCCTTTAGTCAGAGCTCTGCCCTCATTAAACACCACAGAGTTCATACAGGAGAAAAACCATATGAGTGTAGTGATTGTGGGAAGTCTTTCATGCAGTTCTGTAGTCTCACTGAGCATCAGAGAGTTCACACTGGAGAAAAGCCATATCAATGTAGTGATTGCGGGAAGTCGTTCAGTCAAAGCTCTAATCTCATTCAACACCACAGAGTTCACACTGGAGAAAAACCCTTTGAGTGTAGTTTATGTAAGAAATATTTTAGCCAGAAACATAGCCTGATTAGACATCTGAGAGTTCACACTGGAGAAAAGGCTTAAATATCCAGATCATATTTTATCTTTCTCACTCAGAATGGCAATACTGAAGGAGATACTTTGGGACCCATTTACTAAATATAAGCTCCTTTTTTAGAAAGATATACAGGCAGTCCTCAGGTTACGTCAGACTCAATGTACGTCATTTCATGGTTACGTCACCATCTCCCATTTACAGTATTTATAAAAAAAAAGTTCTGTTTTGATGTATGTACATATGTGCTTTATGTTTTCTATTATTTATTTACCACAAGTAAAGGTCAAGAATTGTTATCTTTTTTTTTTTACTGTTTCACTTAATTACTGCTGTGTATGTGCTCAATGTGAGTGACGTAGGTACTTATGTAGGTGGGTACATCGCACTGTAAGAACAGATCTCCGACATAACCCAAAGACCTACTGTACTATGCTAGTTTCCTCATAAGCTTCAGGTACAACTGAGACTTGAAGGATCTGCATTTGTCAACCTGCCCAGACCTAATATCCCATTGATGTCACTGCGAGTATTTGTGGCTGAACAATTTCACCTCTACCACATGAAAAACGTGCATCGGTCACAACACCTGTGTGCTTAGGGGACATGAATTTTGTGTTCTCACTTGTGCTGGAGGAAATTAAGATTTTTCTGAGCTCTTAACAGGACCTTCATTCTTTTATCTTTGGCTAGGGATTGGAACTGACCCAGGGTTCATCCAGAGCACCCGTCCTTAATTAAGAAGTGCTGCCTCTGTCAGGGACACTATGGTTCTTACATTATGTTGTAATGAATTGTTTCCATTCTAATTCACTAGCTTGCAAATTACTTGCTGTCCTCTGCTCCCATTTATGTTTTTGTAAATGTTTTTTTTTTTTTTCTTTTGTACCTTTAGTTTGTTGGTTCTATTCACTGCCTGGGATGATTTGAAAGGAAAGTTGTGATCTGTCAGCGTGGAAAGGTAAATGGATATGTTAGGGTCCCAAACTTTCCGTGCTTTGGAAGGCACAGCATGACAGAAAATCACTATTTGTCCAATATTGGCTTATTTTGTATTGCTTCCCAAGGCTGTAAAAGAAAGTGTACATGACTTTGTGGTTTTAATTTGAAATTAGGTGCCTCTTTTATTGGTGAGATCACTGGTCACCCTGAAGAGGAAGCCTTCGTTATGCTTGTACAAACAATATGCATTAAAGTTTGTATTACATAAGTTTCAGCAATGTTTAGAGAACTATTCTATACGTGCTCCAGAAAGGCCATGTGCCATTATGTATGAAATTTCATAGGCTGTTTTCATTTGTTGTGAATCTCTGAGGTGGAACTAATAGGGACAGAAACACTTGTTTTCATAATCATGGAAGAGACTGCAGTTGAACGAGATGAAAAGTACCTCTTCTGGACATTAACCCATAATTATTCCAGGGCCTGTGGCTTGTATCATCTTTTAGGACATTCTGAGGACCTCCATAACTTTCCTGTAGCTGAAATCACTGGCACACAAAATAATATAAAGGTGCTGTGAATTCTGCTGGACCCTCTAGGGTATGCACCTCAAGGTTGTTGCTTGACAAGCAAGAACTCAAAGCTAGCGAAAGGATATATATATATATATATATATATATATATATATATATATATATATATATATATAATGCAAATTGTCCCCTCAGGGATTTGCACAGGAGACGGTATTCTATCGCTCGCTATGACATGTGCTGACCATCAGGGCAGTGTAGAATAAAGGAAGGCCCCATCCGGCAGCCAGAAGGCCCCGATTGGCCCTGATTGCTGGCCAGGCCTAGGGATTTTACCCGTGCATGAATTTCATGCCCTGGGCCTCTAGTAATCCTATAATCAGTTCCAAGGTATGTCTTTTGTAAGCAGTCAGCATTCCTGTTGATTCCCATGGCAATAGTCTTCACTGCTTGCCAATACTTGCTGCCACTGAGGCAAGGCTGTTTCTCCCAGGAAATAAGACTTGACATGCAATGAAGTGTACTTTTCTGATGTGTACTATTTGGTGAGCCTTGAAATAGAAATAAAATTGTGAAACTGTTAAATGCAAAATAAATTCACCTGTACCTCATACACAGGATGGGGCAAAAATAGGCTTACAGTTGAAAGTACTGCAAACACAGAGATTATTCTTTTTAAAAAATAATTTAGAAAATACTTTTATTCATTTTGGGGGTGTGGGGGAGAGTGAAGCAAGGGGAAGAGAGAGGTAAACATAGATCTGCTGCCTCCTGCACGCCCCCTACTGGGGATCCATTTGGGGATGTGCACTGACCTGGAATCAAACCAGAGACCTTTCAGTGAATGGGATGACACCCAACCAGCTGAGGATACTTGATGAGGCAGAGTTTATACATGTATTATTATTATTAATTAATGTATTATTTTCCATACCAACAACTCTAAACCTACTTTTGCCACATCCTGTATTTTCCTCCAGCCCTTTTATAATCTCTTTTTGTGCCTTCCTCAGTGCTCCATGCAGTCATTGATTTCCCTTCCTTTAGAATAGAATAGTTCATAATGTTCATAGTTTTATAGGCACTGTTTGGTGTATATTCTTTAACCAATACTGGTTTCCTCCATTCTACACAATTATTTTGAGATTCAACAGTAATGCTTATGTGAATACTAGTACTTGATTTTTTTTTTTATTGCTGAGTACTATTGGATCTATTGATTTATGATTTGGGTTATTTCAAGGTTTGAGGTATTATAAATAAATCTGCTGGGAATATTTGTGTTCAGTTCTCTGTATAGACATGTTTTACTTCTCAAATTGTTGCAGTGTAGTTGAATGTTTTACATTTAAAATACGCAGAACTGTGACCCAAAATGGTGATTGCTTTTGCCTTTCCACTAACCCACAGTATATAAAAATTCCAGTTTTTCTGCAACCATGCCAGCACATGCAGTGGTTAACTTTTTAAATAGTAGCCCCAGAAATGAATAGAGTGTTAACTCTATTTCATTTTAAATCCATTTATTCTAAGTAATTTTCATGATGAGGGTTTATTTCATACATTTATTTACACTGTATTTTCTTTGTTAACATGTCAGCTCAGAATCTTTTTCAAATTATTTAAATAAATTTATTATTTTAACCAGAAGGAGGACTGTGCAGCATGTAAGACATATGTTTGAATTTCATTCATTCCTCAATGACTCAAGTGACTTCTTTGCCCTATGGAACCATAGGTATTGAATACTGGGAGGAAAATTGTTTTTCTCAATTTTTATCCTGTGTTCAATTTAAGCCAACTTGTGCCATACTGTTATGTTTAATCTGCATTGTTTACATTCTACACAACTATTTTTAGGTCTAAGAATTCAATAATACATTAAGGGAAGTATAGGTTTGTAGTATTTGTTAATTTCCCTGATGTAAATACTCTCATTGTCTCCAGGTTCAAACTGCCAAAATGATGGCACTGAACATAGACATCATATTTCAGTAGCACATCATTATATTTTTTTTTTAACATACTGATACAGTAGCAACTAATTTACTCAAGAACGTTCTTAATAAAACAGTAAAATAATGGGAAGTTGCCCATTTTAAACATTTTTTAAAAGTTCAGATATAATTGAATACAAATGTATTTTTTGTTAATCCTCACACGAGGATATTTTTCCATTGATTTGTGTGTGTGTGTGTGAGAGTGGGAGGGGTAGTGACAGTAAAATATCAATGTGAGAGACACATCAATTGGTTGCCTCCTGTCTGCACCCTAACCAGTGCCAGGGAGAAACTCTGTAACCATTACATACACTTGATTGGAATCAAACCTGCAACTCTTTAGTATTTGGGTTGACATTCCACTGAGGTAAGCCAGCTAGGGCTAAAATATGCATTTTCTTTTTTTTTTTTTTAATACAAACAATCAACTTTATTGGTGTTCAGGGTCAGTTTCTCTTTTTGCTCTTGCCAGTGACCTTGGCTGGCATGAGGACTGGAGTGGTTGCCTGATACAGAGTGGAGGAGATCTTGTTGATGTAGTACAGACCAACCATGGAGAAGATGAAGCAGGTGGTGACACATACTCGATGGATGAGGCCAGATGCAAAAAGAGCCAACAGGAGGCAGAAGAGAATCTCCGGGAAGATCTTTGCTTGGAATCCTTTGCCAAAGACCAGATTCTCCAGGTTATTAAAGGCAGTGAGCGAGAAGACGAACAGGCCGGAGCCGAGCAGGCCCCCCTGGATGGTGAGCCACTCGGTGGAGGCCAGCTGGCGGCTGTACATCTGCATCCCGGCGAAGAGCAGCAGGGACAGGAGGGAGGACAGCGCCAGCGACATGCCCGTCCCCACCGCCATCACGCCCTCCGGTGGGTCCAACAGATGCCCCTGGCCCAGAAAGACGGGAGATGAAATATGCATTTTCTTAACATGCACTTTTGATGTTTCCGTACATCCCTGCATTCCTGAAACCAAATTCCTCCTGCCCTATTCAGTGCTTCTTTCTTGACTTATAAAATAACTGATACGAGGACATAGTCAACCTTTGTAATAGTTTATAGGAAAAATATCTATATTATTAACTCTCCTCATGGTTGTTCGTTTTTTAATCTATCTATCCCCAGGTACATTGATAGCTTATTTTACTTATAATCCCATCTGTATCTGGCAATGCCTGGATAGCTCAGTTGGTCAGAGCATCATCTCAATAAATCAAGGTTGCAGGTTCAATCCCTGGTCAGGGCATATACAAGAATCAAGCAAATGATACATAAAAATAGTAGAACAACAAATTGATGTTTTGTTTCTCCCCATTTATTTCTCTCTAAAATCAATATATATTTTTTTATTCATCCAGTCAGTCAACACACGTATATACAAGCACAACCCGGGGAACTATGGGGAACGAGCAGCCAGGGTTTTCATGGGACAGAGCATGCAATGATGGCGAGAACAGGAGGGGAGGTGCTGGTGCTGTCAGTGAGGAGGGTGGGTAATAGGGGCTGCGCTGTACAATTACCCACAGGGGATTATGACATCAGTGCTCCCTGAGATTAAAACCAAATCATCCAGGAGAATACCTGCCCCTTGTGGTCTCTGCAACTTCCAGGTGGGTATTGAGATTGGCTTATTTCTAAATGGATGAGAAGTTGATTCCTCTCAGGTGTCAAGGCTGGGAGCAGCAGTGGCTGCTGGGCAGGTGGCTGTGGGCAGGCAAAAGCCCAGGGCAGATGTCAGGGATAGTTGGTGCTGGGCCATGTGTGTGGCCCTGAGACCCTCACCAGCAGGACTGGGACTACTCTGTTCTTTGGGGCCATGGTTAGTGGGACATGGAGCAAGCTCTGTTGCAGGAGTTCCCAGGCGTTCATCACCTGGGAGTCAGCATGTGCTCCAAGAAAAAACTAGTGACCCAGGCAGGTGCAACCTAATCCTCTGTAACAAAGTGCTCCAGCCATTGACCTGACCGAGGAAGGAGAGGAGCCATCTCTGCAGAGCCTGATTCCCTTTTTGACAAGCATGATGGGTCACCGGGTGCTGAACCACGTGGTCCTATTGTGGATTGCAAATGTGGTGAAGTTTAGCGACTAAAAGAGGTTGTCTACATTTATCAATCTAGTGAGAGAAAAAGGCCCTGATCTTTCCTCAATGAGTAAACATCAAGTTTGGTCTTGGTCATTGTGTCTCAATGGTAAGAGCGTCAGCCCACACACCTGAGGGATACTGAAATAGATTCCCAGGCAAGGTCATATACCTGGGTTGCAAGTTCAATCACAAGTACACATTGACTCATGTGGGGGAGGCAACTAGTTGATCTCTCTCTTTCACACCCATGTTTCTCTCTCCCCCTATGACCACCCCCCCCCCCACCTTCCCCGCCCCATTCCACTCTCTCCAAAAATTATGGAAAAATATT